TGCTGAACGAGACTCAAAGGTCCGAGTCGGTAAAATGATCCGAACTTCCCATCACTATTGAGAATGCACTACACAACGACGTGATTTGCGATAGAGTGAACATTCACTAGTGCATACAGCAGCAGCAGCAGCCTCCCCCGGGTCCTAATGCCGCTCGGTAAGGAGTTTTAATCTGTAGGGGGCGCTGTTGGTCATAACATTTATACTGCGTTTCTGATTCAATAAAGCAGTAATTGTTGTCATAAAATAATGAGTATGTTTTGATTTAAAGGTCAGAAGCTATAGCTGACATGAAAAAAATCACAAACATGACACATATACTGATTTATTCATTATTTAATTCTAACAAATAAGTTCTTGTTAAAAACTAACCAAAATTAAAAATATTTAGCTTATAATTTTTGCACAGGAGAGACTTGGTGTTGTTTTCAAACAAAAGGAAATATATCGGAATCGGCCAAAATGAGTTGAAAAATATCGGCATATCGGCAAAAATCCAATATCGTGCATCCCTATTCTTTTCTTTTAAAGAGAAATGTATCTTGTTTCCTTCTGTCCAAACAACTGCATTGAACATACCTTTCTGAGTGCCATAAGTATTATTTTTCCAAAGTTTGCGTGCCTATAACTCAAGAAGTATTAAAGATATTTCAATATGATTTTAGATTCTAGTTCTTAATAAACTTTTCTTTTGAAATCTTCATTTTCAAGGCCCTACATTGTTCGGTTCTAGAGATATGGGGATGTCAATGAGGATCTATATTCAGAAAAAAATATTAGCAAAATCAAAAATGTGAGCCAGGGAAATTTCTGAAATTTGGTTGAAATTGGTTGAACACGAAATGACCCTATAGGTTATAGATATTTTTGCATTGTAAACTTCTCTAAAGGCTTCTTGAAAGTGTTACGTTTTTGTAACACCTCTTTAAGATTTTTTTAATCCACTCACATAATGTGCCTGTTGTCTAACAGATGTGTCCTGAAATAAGTTCCAGAGAAATCACACTTGTCTCTTTGAGAGGCCTAGGTGAAGAAAGTGTCCCGTATTTTCTTAGCCAGTGAGGAAAAAGTTTGAAAATCTTTGTCTCTCTGCATTTTACGAGTTCGTTTTGCTCCGTTTGTCAACATTGGGTTGGCTGACTTGTCTTTGGAGGTTAAGGTTTTGGAGAAGGTACATGTACAGTTGAGGTCAAAAGTTTGCTCTGCCAGGGGGTGAAAACTTTTTGAATTTGAAGATCAGGTTCAATTTAACTTATTTTGTCTTCTGGGAAGCATGTAACTATCTTCTGTAGCCTCTGAAGGGCAGTACTAAATGAAAAAATATGATATTTAGGCAAAATAAGAAAAATTTACACCTCCATTCTGTTCAAAGGTTTTCACCCCCCTTAATGCAATGTTTTTTCCTTCTGGAGCATCAGTGAGCATTTGAACCTTCTGTAATAGTTGCATATGAGTCACTCAATTGTCCTCCGTGTGAAAAGATGGATCTCAAAATCATACAGTCATTGCTGGAAAGGGTTCAAATACTCAAAAATGCTGGAAAACCAAAGAATTTGTGGGAGCTGAAGGATTTTTCTGAAGAACAGCAGGCAGTTTAACTGTTCAGGACAAACAAGGGACTCATGAACAACTATCACTAAACAAAAAAACACCGCTGTGGATCATTCAGGTAACAACACATTATTATTAAGAATCAAGGGGATGTAAACTTGAAGTGGTTTTTTTTTTTATTCAACTATTATTTTCTCTTGGACTATATGCAAACATCTTTTATGTGAAATATCTTATTCAGGTCAGTACTAAATAAACAATAACATGCATTTTGTATGATCCCTCTTATTTTGATAAAGTAATTAACATTTTGCAGATTCTGAAAGGGGGATGTAAACTTTTGACCTCAACTGTAGTTATAAGGATGAAATAAGCTAATTTAGTGACTACAAATCTAGCAGCTCTTTCCATGTACTGAAACAGAGATTCACAATAACTACATTATTCTACTTCTCTAGATTGTCTTTGTCATGCTTTTTCTCTCTGCTTGTAATCCCGTCATCAAGACAGGATACTTCCTGAATGTTGTTTTTCGTCTGGGTAATACTGGCCCATTTTTTTTAGCAGCAGGTCTTGTGGGGAGTGTCTGTGAAGTACTGAAACTCTCTTGGTATTTCTGTTGTGTTTTAACAATAACATAATAAAAATTACAATAACATAATAAAAATAATATAATAAAAATGACATTTGATTAAATAAATGCAGCCTTTGTGAGCACAAGAGGCTCGTTTATATTTTTCATTCATTGTTTTATGATTCCTGCCATCATGGGTAAGTTATAACTGATGTCAAATTTAGGCAAATCAACTGCAGTCTGAATTTAGCCTGTCACAAAATGCTATTACAGTTATTTTTTGCATAAATAATGTCATTTTGTTGTCCTGGTGAAAGGCTGTGCTATCTGTACTGGCTCACAGTCATCATAAGTGAAGCCAAAAGAGTAGTGCGTTTCAGCATCCTCTTTATTGCCAGGTGCCTCTGACTCCTGATGCCAGTGTGTTTTTTTTTTCTTTTTCTGAACCTGTTTAAATCAAATGATCTGTTTATGAATTCAAAGCCGTTTTCAAGGGTGAAGAGTTTCCTGTTAAGCTTGCCTGTCAGTCACATAAAATTGACTAATAATCATGTGCTTCTAAAGGCTGAAAACCGATTTAAATGCTCTCTTGCAGAATCCTGTCAAAGTCTTACTGTCCATTAGTGTAGTTGAGGCTCAGAGTGGTCATGTGTCTATGTCACAGTGACCAAAAGCATCTCATCCAGGAAAGGGTAAAGAGGTCAAAAAGTAATTCACTAACCAATATGGACCAACTCCATCTACCCATACTAAAACAAAGCCCCTGAGCTGCTATAGCACTTATCTCCCACCCTCTCGGCTGGAGCCTGGCATCACTGCCACCCCCAAACCATCTGGAAGCTGTTCTGCTGTCACACAAGCGATACAGACCTGGCACAGCTTTACTGACAAATAGCCTGAAACAATGTGAGTAGAGATCTCATTATTTTTCAATATGTATGTCGTCTCGCTGCCTTCCGTTTTTATAAGCAGTAAACATGCTCTGAGGAACAGAGCTGATATACGGTGCCTTCCAGACAGTTGGCAGTATATCAAAGAGCTAAATTGTAACATTTACATGATAAATAAAAGTCGAGGGAGCAGATTTGTCGCTGAAGTTGTCCCACACAATTGATGACCAATGTTAATCTGTTCCTTTGGGGAAATAGTAGGCATGCTTAACAATAACCGATAAGATTGAGCCACCAGACCTAATTAAGTTCAGTGTGTATTAATCAAGCATTTTTAAAAAGGACCGTGACTTTATTTGTTCTTCGCTCAATTAGTGGCTGTAGCTAATGGAAGAGTCTGTTTAAATGGATCAGCGTCCCAGAAGACTCAGTAACCTGCCTGAGTTGGCTCCGATTCTCGTTCTCCCACTCTCTGTGTCTTCGCTTTTCTCTTTCACTCTCTGCCACCCCAGGGCCAGTTTTATCCACCCACATGCTTTTTTTGGCATTTTGTTTGTGCTCGGGGTGCTTGTTTAAAACTATTATGATTACTTGCATAATGCTGCTGCATTGTCACAGACTAGACATGTACGTTTATATTCAGAAACTTGTGCAGAACATGGAGCCAGAGAGAGATTTCATAATACATACATCCTGTTGTACCTGATGACAGGCAGACCGTTCCAAATGTGTGATGTCTAGGGATAGTTCACCTTCATGCCATTCCAATCCTGTATTCTTTATATAGAATAAGAAATTTTAAAGCTGTTTTTCCACATAAGGACTGCAGTTCATAGTGGCTATATCTTCCAAAAAGGACAAAAAAAACCCTTATATAGTCCATGCTGTACAACTTGTGTGCTATGTGTTTCAAGTCTGTTGAAGACATTTTATATAATAACTGTCACCCTCTATAATATGGTATTATCATGTGTTTGTTTTTTTTAGTCAGATCACAACTGATTTTTTTTTTATTGATTTCGTAATCTAGTCTCAGAGTTTACCTAAATAATAATGGGCCTTTATTACAGCAACAGGTATGCAATACAGTTTTAAAATATGTAACTATGGACGTTTATAGAAATTTGTGCTAGCAATCCTTTTACTAGTCGACCAAGTAGCTGAGCCAAATGTTTACCTTGTATAAATAAGAGGTTACATTAAATTTATGCTAATTTCCACATTTTTAAAATGACATCCATCATAGCAATTTTCCTGTTGTTAAATAGGATATTTAAATATTAAGCATGCGCCTGCTCTGTGATTTCCGGGTTTGTAGGTTCACAAAACTCCCTCCTCCACCATGAATAAATCATCATCTGAACCTTTCCGTTTTATCACTGAGAAACCATGCAAATTTATTTTTACAGATGTCCCATGAGGAACAATTACTGTCTGAATAGGGCTGAAGACACATTGTGATCAGATCACTGATAATGTATTTTGAGGTGGTCTGAGACAGATTTTGACCAGATATAATGAAGATGTAAATGCAAATGCATTTTCGTTATCCTCACTCCGCTGTATGCAGTGCAGTGAGGTTGTGCTGCTGCAATTAATCAAGTACGTCAATTTGATTATTTTGCTCTTGCAATGTGAACAAGACAACAGAAACTGTTTATTCATTTTATTTTTATTTTATTTATTCCCCCAATTTAATCAACAATATCTGATTAATTTATCAAATAGCAAGCACATTATGAATGTTTTTAAAATTTGATAAATGGCAGATACATTTCAGTTAACACAACCTCTTATGAAATATGTAAATGGATTTGTAAGTCACATTGGAAAGAAGGTGTAAAGTCTGACTAAAATAACATGTCAATGCCAGGTTTAAGGGGGTTATAGTCTTGAAATCATTTTCGCTGTTGATCTTCATCTCCACGTTAAAACACGGATCATTGACTTGTGAAGGTTTGGCGTCATTTTTTTTCCCGCATGTGTCATAGTCGAACATGCTGCATCAGTTAGATGTATGAAATAATAAAATGTGACATTTGTAAACATTTCTCTGCATCCCACAAATTTGCACATTATGTGACTGGAAAGACATATTATTTTGTATTCCAACAAAAAGCAGGCAGGCACATAAATAAAATCCTGTGAGTGGCCTGAGCATCTAAGCTTGTTAGTGAAATAAATTGAGCTGCTTTTCCCATTGCTCTGTCTGCCAGCATAATATGAGCGAAATGGAATAAGGAATATGTGGGGTTGGCATAATCTCCTCCACTCCACCTATGTTGTTCCCGTAATGGTTTTACAAGATTATATCCCTTCAGAATAGCATCTCTCCATTTTATGCCAGTTCCGTCATGTTCATGAATGAAGTGCTTTGAAAAAAAACAAAACAGGATTAGAGAAACGCGGCGGATTTGTTGTCTTATATATTGGCTTATGCAGCATCTATTTATAGACTCCAGTTCTTCCATTGCTCTGGATTGAATGCCCTGCTTCAACCCCCCTGACCCACCAACACTTTTCCTCTATACATTCCCTCTCTGTCATCTCGATGAAGTTTTGTTTCCTCTGAGATTAATTTCATTCAATATTCATTTAGCGTAGTTCAATTCTCTCAACAGACTGTAAAGAAATCCTCAGCCTGGGAACCGCCGTAGATCTACAAAATGTAGGTGACGCATACTAGTCTGTTAACAAGCTGATACTGGATGGTTACATGAAAAACCTTTTGAATCTCTGTTATCCTTTCAGCAACTCAGTGAGTTTCATTATATATTTTCTATACAGAGAGTTTATGTCTTCTGAAGTGCATCTCGAGTCCGAAAATGAAACTTCAGGATGGATTCAGAATCAGAATGCATGAAATATCCCATGTTTTCTGAGCTAAGTTTTTTTTAAGGTAGGAAGAGACTGTGCTTGTGGTTGTGGCGTCTTGCAGAGACGACAATGGTGAAGGACTGACCTTGAGAAAGAGGCAGTTTCTCTCATGCTCTCGGTCTCTTTTTATTCGTCTGTTTCCGCCTCATAGCCTGTTTGAAGTGAATAGTGCGCCTCACTGATCACATTGGACCACGCTGTGCTAATCTCATAGGATATAGCCTGTGGCCTTCCACCAGAAAGATGGAGTGACTTTGTCAGCATGACTTCAGAATTCAAGATGAAGTCTTCACAGGAATGTAATTACAGATTTGTCGAACTGCCACTGTCAGGCCATTACCATGGCGCATGCCTGAGTCCAGGCTCGAGGTGTCATTTGCAGAGTCAAAAGTGCTTCACGTCTGCCGTCTGAATGTCATTTGGTCAGGGGGGTATCTGTTTCAGGGATGAGTGACATGACTTTTTCCTGATAATGTCAAAGGCCGTCTTCAGCTCAACTAGAGAAGAGAGGTTAAAGACAGCAGAACCTCTGAGAACATCTCCGTTGAGATGACAATCCAAAATCGACATCTCATATTCTTTTAACTTTGTTCTTCCAGGTCTCTTTAGAGTCTTGTCACTCTCACAACACTCCATTCTGTCGTTAGCCTCTTTATCAAAGTCTCATTCACCTGTCAAGCTCAAGTCGTCATCGTCTGATCTCATTGACAGCTTTTCGGCCCTTTAGGACAGCCTAGCTTAGCTCATTGACTCCCTCAAGGGCATTAGAGATGGAGTCATGGCTTGTTGGCGAAGTAACAGCTGTACAAATAAGCGGCATTCCACCTTTTGAACCTCAGGAGAAAGATCTAGAAACAGCCCCGCGGCATCAGCCAAAACACATGTGAGATGTGCCCTCTAATGTCTTCAGACAGAGGGCAGGCTGAAGGTTTTGTTAGCTTGGTGCTAGCACTGGTAGCAGGATTTGTTTTGTTGAATGTTTGATGTTGCAGCTGTAGCTAAATTTACTGGGGTCACATCATGAGACGTCACATTTTTCCTTGATCTTTTGCAATGAAAGAGATCATTGTAGTGTGAAAACATTCTGTAGCTTTCAGAAATCAAAACTTCCAGCCCAGAATGTCTCATTCTTACATCTTTTGCCTTCACATGTATGGGTGCCTAGACATGGAGAGAGAAAGCAATGGTTTCGCTTGCTCTGACGGCATGGTGCCTCAGAGGCGGAGGAAGTTGCTCGCGGCAGGCGAGCCGATGATAATGGAGATCATTTAATGTGCAGCATGTCAGCATTGTTTGGAACTAATGAAAGCTCAGAAGTTGTGAATGCATCGTAATTAACTACCAATCAGTACCTTTGCCTCCCCTCCTTTATCATTTAGAGCTGATGTGCTTTTGTTCAACAAAAACACGCTTCTGGACTCCATTTTGAACATGGGCTATGCAAACATGCTGGATATGTATGAATAGCGTACCATATTTGTAATACTTAATGAATATGTACTATGTTTCAAATAGTGAAAAAAGTGAAACCATACACTCAAAACCATTGAAGCCTAATATTTAGGATTTACGTATTGTAATTGCATATAAATTTCTCATCCATTTGGATGGTTTTGAAATAACCTAATAAACTTAATGTGATGCAGGTTTGTGTGGCATAAATTAAACAAGAATGAGATTTAATAGTACTACCAAATTGTGTTAATACACAAGCAGCATTTGTAAATCCTATTGATTATATGTAAATCATTCTCATGCATATGTTATCTAATTAACCCTTGCTTGTTTCACAGTTAACCATATTTAAACCATGTTCATACTTTTTAACTGATTAAATGTTGTTGTTTTAACAATTAACAGATTTATGTTGATGCTAAGGAATTTAAATGAGTTTTTAAAATATAATTATTTAAATAAAATCATTTAGACTGCACATTTTGGCAAATGTAGTAGGTTTTCTGGGTGTTCTCTGCTACAAAATCTGTATTTACAGACAATCTGCATATTAGGAACAGCAGAATGTATACTATATAGTGCAGCAATAGTAATAGTAGTATGCTGTTCCAAAAATAACATGCTGTCCTTTCACTCTACAAAACGATGTGAAGAAAAGGTGTGTTTGTGTTGTGATTTTAAACAGAAGTGCTTACAGTGCTTCACAGTGTAAGGAGATCTCTCTCAGGGCGATTGTCAGCAGCTCTGGCTATCAAGGAAGTATATATGACTTGTGTGGGTGTGTGAGGGAGGGGGGAAACACACTAATTTAAACTAAAACACTTTAACTGAATGTTTGCATGATCCTGAACCAAAAATATACCGTTTTCTTTCTTTCTTTTTTTAATCCGTTAAAGCAAATCTGAATTACAAGTGCCCCGTAACCTGATTAAGTACCAAGTTTGGGAATCTGCCCCAAGTTTGGGATGCTTTAGCTTAAGTCTGATTGGTTGGCAGACAGAGAGCAAGCTGTATAATAACTCCAAATTATCCAAATCCAAATTAATACACCAAATTATCACAGCCCTGCTGCTGAGCTATATGTTAGTTTCGGGGTATAAGGTGCTGGATATGCTTGTATCTCTGTTGGCTTGGAAACCGCCACCTCGTATCTGTGAAGTAGAGCGGAATTTGGGATTCGGGTCTCTGGTGATGCTGAAATATTGCACCCACATCATAGCCCTGCATGGTTGACAGACAGACGGTTCGATGCACTCTGTGACTAAATCCATTATGACTTCCTCTCATCAGTACTGAGTTTGACAGGAAATCCAAGAATTAACCAATTGTGACAGGTGTATGCAAATGTGGTAGAAGCTAGAAGTCACAATTACACTTTTTTTTTAAAATCATACTTTCAGTCATGGAAATAAACCAGGAAAGGGAAAAATTAGTGCTTCGGCTTTCTAGAAGCAATTAAAGATGACAAAAACACATACCAAACAGCATTCTGGGTGTGTAATAGATGACAACTGAGAATAGCAATAAGACAGCAGTGGAAGTCCATTACATTGTGTTTCACTCTCTGCTAGAGAATCGTGCTGTTGGAAGATATTACGTGTTATCTTCAAGCTATAGCATTTGCCCTCCGACTAGGAATCATCCACGGTAATGGAACAGTCTTAGTGGGAAAGAAAGATTGAATGATTGTGTGGAAGTGTGAGGATGTCTTTTAAAGGATGAGTCCGTGTATGTGTGAGAGAGTGAAAGGTCTGCATTTGAGAGTGTGTAGAAGTGAAGAGGTGGATCCTTCTGCTGACACAGGAATGAAATTTAGTTGTAGGAAAAGAAAGTAGAGGGATTTTGGGTAACACTTTAGTACAGGGACCAATTCTCACTATTATGAACTAGTTGCTTTTTAGCATGCCTATTATTAACATATTGGCTGTTTATTAGTACTTATAAAGCACATATTCTGCATGACCATAATCCTACCCAATACCTAAACTTAAAGGGTTAGTTCACTCCAAAATGAAAATTCTGTCATTAATTACTCACCCTCATGTCGTTCCAAACCCGTAAGACCTTCGTTCATCTTTGGAACAAAAATTAAGATATTTTTGATGAAATCTGAGAGCTCTCTGACCCTCCATAGACAGCAACGCAACTGTAATGTTCCCAGGTCCAGAAAGGTAGTAAAACAATCCATGTGACATCAGTAGCTCAACTTCAATTTTGCGAAGCTACGAGAATACTTTTTGTGCGCAAAGAAAACAAAAACAACGACTTTATTCAACAATTCTTCTCCCCCGAATTACTGTCTTCCGCCATTTTGGAGAGCATCACAATGCATACGCACACTTTTCCCTAAGTGTAAACAACGCTGATTACGCCGATTACGTTCATGTGCACGCTTTCCCCTCGAACGTAAACAACGCTGATTATGCCGATTACCTTCTTGGGTACTCTCCAAAATGGCGGAAGATGTAACCCGGGGGAGAAGAATTGTTAAATAAATTGTTATTTTTGTTTTCTTTGCGCACAAAAAGTATTCTC